CCGCTCTTCCGATCTAGGCCGGCCCTGGAGTCTGGAGGTTTTTATTATGGACCTTTCATTTGGTCCTATTACTAATGGGAAGAAATCAAAACATTGGTTTTAAAATAGAGGAGAATGATGTGATCAGACTTGCATTTCAAGAATAGCATTCTAACTCCAGAGTAGATTGGAGCAGAGCTATAGCATTTACCCAAGACCAGTTAGGGAGCTAGCGGAGTAGTTAGTCCAGCAATGATGATGGCTTAGACTGCAGTGATAATGACAGTGATCAGAAGTAAACAGATTGGTGAAAACATACAGGAGGTAGAATCAACAGGACCTGTCTGAGTGGCTGTGTTTGGTAGAGAAGGAGAAAATGTCGGGGATGACACCCATATTTCTGGCACAAGCAGTGGGTGCCTATTGATGCTACTTATTGAGAACTAGCGAGCACTCCAAAGAAGCAGGTTGTGGTGGAGATGGCCTGGGTGTGGGATGAGACCAAGTGTTCAGTTTGGGCCATGCTGAATTTAATGTTCAAATGCATTGTTCAAATGGATGTGTTGAATAAGCAGAGAGATGTAAGGGGCTGAACTCAGGCTACGGGTCTGGGCTGGGAATAGAAATCTCCATTGGCCTATGGAGGATATTTGAAACCAGGGGCGTAAATGAGGTCACCTGGCGAAGGAAGGCATCCTAAAGAACACCAGTGTTTTTAAAGGTAAGGTAGAAGTTGGCAAAACAGACCGAAGCAAAGTAACCTGAGAAGTAAGTGGAAACTGGAAGAGCATGTTTTCAAGCACGCCAAGTATGGAAATGCCTCAGGAAGGAGGAAGTGATGGACCAGATGCTGCCAGGTGATTAAATGAGACTGAAAGTGTCCAGTGGACTTAGTGGTATGGACATCACTGGTTACATTAACAAAAACAAGTTTACTTGAAGAGTGGTGCAAAAACCACATTAGAGTGGATTGAAAAGTTTGTATGAGTTGGAAGTCTGAAGTAACATTTAAACCACTTTTTCATGAGGTTTGGCTGCAAGGGAAAGCGGGAAGCAGAAGAGACCGACTGCCCAACACGTGGGAGAGGCATGTCAGAGCCGGGAGTTTTTTGTTTTAAGTTGGAGTAGATGCAAATGCATTAAAATCCAATTGTAAAGATTATTAAAGTTGTAAAGATCAAAAAAGCCAAACTTCCAACTGGTGGTTTGGAACTCCTGGTGTCCACAGAGGTGATCTAGAGAATTCATGTTAAAGATAGCAATGGTATTTTTTCCATTTCTATTTTAAAATAAGTATCAATTCACATATTTTGGCCTAGAAAATAGAAAAGTGCAAGACCCCCTCAGTGTGTACTATGCATTAAACAAGCGCCAGGGTCAGTGCAGCTGTGCTGAGCGCTGGTGCTGTGCTATGTCACGAACCCCCAGCAATCCTGGTGCTTTGTCAGTTACATAGTTCTGCCTCATTTTTTTCTTTCCTATAGTAATGTAATGTTTAAATTATATACACAAAAACCATTGTCTGAAGACATGAAGCTTCT